CTGAGAAGCTGTTCCTTGAAATTTGGAACCAAATTCCGTACCGCTTTCTCAGAAGCCCCCGCCACCTTCTTTTCCGAGGGCCGAACTGAACTCTTGCGCTCGTGATGAGCACAAAGGCGAATTCAGGTTTCTCAAAAGTCCATCGGCTCTGAATAAACACCAGGGAGAAGCAAGCGAGGCTCTCTCAGCAGAACGGCCTGCGGGGTCTTCAGTGAAAAGTGTCAGTATTGGGGCAGCGCAGCCCGGCGCCTGATCCCCTCACCAATCTGCCAGCGAAGGACTGTGGGAACTGACTTTCAGCTGCTACGCTTTCATCCTGACTTACCGCGTTGCGAAAGGGGCTTGGGTTCTCTAAGAGTATGTCTTTGCTAATTGCAGGCTCGGCTTTAATGAGATTCTTTTAACTCACCCAAGACCATTTGCAGGTTACAGCCTTATCTGGGGACCCTCGTCTTTTCCATCCTGGTTACACATCCTCTGAACAATCGCCTCTTCGGCGCCTGAAAGGAGAGCGAGCGCCCCATTTCTGCTGAATGCACGTCTCAGTTCATCCAGGGCTGGCGGGCTTTTGATGACCACAATGCAAGTTACGCCCAAAGAGTGTCTCTTTGGTCAGATCGACAACGCTTGGCTTCACGTTTGCAAGTTAAACCGGCAGAAACCCGGCTGAAACTCCCACGCCAGACGCCGCCAGGGACATTTCCCTCCGCCCAGTTCTCAGCAGAACTGGGGAATGGGCCTGGAAGAGGGAGAAGAAAGGGGAGGAGAAGATTTAGAAGGGGGCGCGGGAAGAGAGCCCTAATTCTCAGCCACCGTCTAGAAGAAGGGGGGCATTTTCCCTTGTATTTCCCTCTTATTTTAATTTTTTTTCCATTTTGCTTTGTTGGCAGCTTTACCCAAACAAACAAAAAAACCCAAATGAGAACGTTTTCTCCTTTCCCTCACCTAGGTAGCTGTTTTCCTCCAGCTCCTGAAAATGTGACTCCTTCATAAAATCAAAATTTATGATTATTCAAATGTTGGGGACTGTGAAAAGAGAGGAAGAAAGAGAGAAAATTAATATTGCAGCTGTTCTTCTGATTAATGAGAGATAATTGCTCATGAAAAGTCACCCCTGTGGCATTTTGTTGTCTCCTGGATCTTTGTTCTTTTCCACTATTATTGAGGACTTTCTTGAAGACTAAGCGGTTCTTTTCAATTTTTGGGTATTCAGAAAGGGTTGCCTGGTTACAGAGAATGGGGAAATCTCGGGCTATATCGGGTAAGATGTGCCACAGACAGCAATATCACAATGCCACTTGGAGAAAAGGATGGATACAAGTTAACGATGCGCTTTCAATAAAACATTCATAGACTTGTTCACGCTTTGATAATGACCTCATTAAAGGGAGCTGGGGGCAAGTAAGTCCTGTCTCCTGTTTGTGTTCTGCTAACAAAACCCAGCTTTGAGATCATTCATCGCTTTGGAAACTAATATGAAATCAATGTAAGAGGAGCAAATAAATCCGAGGCAGCCCCGCCAACTCCAGGGTTGTCCCGCCCTGCCCGTGGCCTCTGTGAGGAGCTGGAAACCATGTGGGCAATGATGAAACTAAGAAAAAAAGAACTGGAGGTAGTGTGTGTGTGTGTGTGTGTGTGTGTGTGTGTGTGTGTGTTGGGGGAGGGTGAGTGCTTACTTTAGGGGTGGACACAGAGCTAGGGGTAAAGTGGGAGTTACAGCAGCAAAACCCCAGAATCTGTCAATGGGTCAGCACCCTAGGGCCTGTTGAATAAGCAGCAATCAGTCCCTGACTTTGCCTTTGAAGAGAAACTGAAAGAAAGGAAAGGAGCCTGGGTTCAGATCAGGTGTGATCTGGAAAAGAGAAAAGTACTGGAAGATTCTGGGAAAGCTGTAACCAAGAATTCACATCACAACTTTGAGCTGGAAGGAAACTACTCCCGCAGGCCCAGTTTGAAGAGTGCAGAAGCAAAGAGGGAGCAACTCTGAACTGCTTTGAGTTTTTTTCTCATTTGAGCATGAGGGTGGGCTGTCTTGACTTGGGCTGAGTGGGGACGAAGAAGGGAGACAGTTTTGTTAGCTTTGCATTTGTGATACGTTCTGCAGTCATGGAAGACAAAGCCATCCTCTGTCATCCTGGGCAAGAGGAAGAAAGCCAAAGGACTCCCCCACCCTCTTTAAAAGAACCAATTTTCTCCTTGAATTATGAAAGTAATGGCTTAGGTAACAGCCTGTACTCTGTACCCGGCTGCTTAATACCAAATAAATCCTTCCACGTGGCTCCCCGAGTCGTGGCAATTAGAGCTCATTATAGGCTCATAAGAGCTCTCATTTCAGGGATTACTTAATGGATGATGAAATTTTATCGGACAGAATCACTGAGAAATAAAACTGGAGCAGTGGGGGCACCTCGGGGCACACCGGCCTGCCAATGGTTTACTTGGGGTCCCCCTTGTGCTCTAAGTATGTTGAGAATGCTGTTGCCGCAGGAATGGTGTTCGGAGAGGTTCCCCAGCAAAGCTACAGAGGCTCTTGGAGGGTAAATTTCTGGAAGGGGGAGTTGTAGAGACAGTGGGGTGACTTTTGAAGCTGGATCTGGAGTAAAGGAAAGACTAGGAGAAGAACAGGGAGGGGGGAGACAAGGACATGGGGAGAAAAAGTAAGGACAGGGGCTGGGGGAGAGAAAGAAAGAGAGAATATGTGCAAGAAAGAGAGAAGACACTAAAAGATCCAAAAAGAACTAAAGATATAAAGTCCTATCATCCCATGGTACTTACTAATGATAGACTCAAGCAATTAATGAAGTGCCTGAACAGTCAAGTTTCTCAGACACGTCTTGCTTTTGACCTCTGTCTGCCCTCAAATCAGTGCTTTCCACATGGCCCTAAGCAGCCCCAGACCCCTCTCACTTTTTCTCAAAATACTCTTTAACATTCCATAGTCAGGTATAAATTGAGTTAGATGCTTAAGCTTCATGATTATTATCTTCTATAATAAAGTGTTCCACACAGGGGCACAACTTTCAGCACATTAGCATAGGGGTATAGTTCTTCCCACAAACACATCCAGAACTCCTGGGAAACTTGTGATACAAACCATCACCCCCAAACAGACCTTAGAAAATCTTCTGCCTAACCCAGAGAAGAAGAAAGGAGAAATCTATCCATTTCAAAGATGTGAGCATATATTACAGGCAAAAGGAGTAAAATACATACAAGCATATATTAAAAATATATGGGCAAAATGAATGTCATTTGGACAATCTTGATCTGTAAAAAGTACCCTGCCATGAATCATCTCAATTGTTGAGTTTCTAGTTTTCCTCCATGAGACTGGCATGATTCCTGGACTGTCTGGATCCTCCCTACAGGAGTGAGTGTGGGTTGGGCCTGGCAGGATGCATGGAGACAGCATCTATGTCGGCTGTATGGCAAACCTTGTGGTTCAAAAGTAGTTACAGCTGAGCCGCCCTGAGTTAAGCCCTGACACTCCTTAATTGTTGTCACAAGATGTTGGATTAGCACATTTCTGGAATAGCTGTCTGTTTACACTCTGGAGACCCACCGTCCACTAACCGCTTTCTAATTGAATTCTAATCACATTCAAATAGCTCAATAACCAGCCTCAGCTGCAATTCATAAAACTTTAATTGCCATCCATAAATCCTGGGCTCCCCAGAGCGGGGCGTCCCTACAACCCAATTACACTTCTCTAGCAGGCAAGAGAAATGGTCACAGAGACAGAAGAGAAAACGAGACAGAAAGGACAGAGAGACAGTTACCGGCCTTTAACTGAGAATCTGATATGAGAATCTGTGGGCGCTTGGTTCTCACTGGTGAAGGGAGCCCTGTCCTCAAGTTTCTAAGAACTACTTCGAACTGGGCCTGAAATTCAGTTTTGGGAGATCTTGCCCACTTTTCTACAGGGCAAAGAGGAGAAAGTTGTCACTTCAGCTTCCTTACTCCCCCCAGATGAATAATCCCTCTCTTGGCAGTCACCCCTTCTTATATAGCCTCTGGAGTCTAGGCTTTTCACTGGACTCTATGTCACGTGAGAGGTTGGTCATTCCAATCCTTGATTCCTTGCGTGGCTCAATTCCTTCAACATTTTGCGGGCTTTTAAAAGGGGTGCAGAAGGGAGTGCTTCCTGGCTAGACTTTCCTGTTGCCCCAGATCCACAAAATACTGGGGGGGGGGGCGCAGGAGGTCACTGGATCCAGGGGAAAGGCTTCCTGATATCTCTTGCCAGTCTTTAGGAGGGTTGGGGTTTGGGGTCCTTTCTCCAAAATTCTTGGAATAGTGTTTGCAAGGTTGACATGGAAATACTGTGGTGGAACAACCCCTCCACTTTCTGTCAAAGGGGAAACTGCTGGTTGGAAGGGGGTACAAAGAAGGGTCATTAGTCTGAATGGCCCCAGGAAGACCCCAAGTGCAAAGGCATTTTAGAACTTCTCAAACATTAGAATGAAAAGCTCTGGAGCTTCTTAGTTGGGAGGCCTGACTGTTAAGACCCGATCTATCACAAATTAAATACTTGAATGAGCGTGGCCCAGTCCAAAAATTGGGGTGGGGGAGGGGCTCTGCGAAAGAAACTGTGTTTGTGTGTCCTTCTGTATGTGGCACAAGCCGCGTTCTAGGGCCACTGCCCGTCAGCCTGGGCTCGATGGTGCTCCGCAGGCCTTACGTTTATTTCACCGCGCCTCAGTCACCGCTGACCGAGAAGAGCCGCGAGTACTGGGCATCCCTATTAAAAGGGTCGCTAAAGTCCCCACCTGGAGCGCTCTGTGGCCAGGCGCGGGGCAGAGTTGGACTGCGGCCCCCGCTTGGAAGAGGAGTGGGATGAGGATGCTGTGGTTTCTCTGGAAAGCGTGGAGAAAGCGGGAGAGGAGATCGTCCTCCCCCGCGAAATTAACAAAACCTACACTTTGCGAAGTCCCCTCCACTCTCCCCCCAACGACCGGGCCCCCTCCGCGTCCTTCCCTGCGGCGCGCCGGCCCCTCCTCGCCGCTTCTGTTGTGACTCGGGCAGCCTATCCCGAGGGTGGGGAGCTGCCGTGGAGCCTGAGCGGAGCGGTACTCCGTAGCGTCACGTGCCGGGGTGGGGGCTATAAAATCCCGGAGCCGGGGCGCCGGGCGGGGGACGTGAGGACCAGCCCTCTCCCGGGACCCCTTTGTTCGCAGCCCAGGCGCCGACACCTCCGCGTCCCCCAGGGCTTGACCGCCTGCGTCCGCGCCGCGCCGGGGGCAGAGCTCCGAACCCAGAGGGGAGGGGGCGCCGCGCCGGCCGGGCCCTCCTGCCACCCACCCCTCGCGACATGTCGCGCTCCTTCTATGTCGACTCGCTCATCATCAAGGACTCCTCCCGGCCGGCGCCCTCACTGCCGGAGCCGCATCCCGGGCCGGATTTCTTCATCCCGCTGGGCGTGCCGTCCCCGCTGGTGATGTCCGTGTCGGGGCCCGGCTGCCCGTCCCGCAAGAGCGGCGCCTTCTGCGTCTGCCCACTCTGCGTCACTTCGCACCTGCACTCGGCGCGGGGCCCGGCGGGCTCCGGCGGCGGCTCAGGGGCCGCGAGTGTGGGAGCCGGGGGCGGCGGGGCGGCGGGCGGCGCCGGGGACCTACCTCTGCTCAAGAGTCAGTATTCCTCGGGGCCCGGGGACGCCCCGTTTTGCTCCCGCATGAGCCACGCGCACCACCACCACCACACGCCGCAACACCACCATCACCACCACCAGCCCCAGCAGCCGGGTTCCGCTGCTGCAGCGGCGGCGGCAGCGGCGGCCGCGGCGGCCGCGGCGGCCTTGGGACATCAGCAGCACCACGCACCTGTCTGCGCAGCCACCACCTACAACGTGGCGGACCCGCGGAGATTCCACTGCCTCACCATGGGTAGGGTTGTGCCTCTGGGGACCTGCGTGCGCGCCTTCGCAGTTCCCGGGAGCAAACTTTTTCTCCTTCAGTGGAGGAAGTGGGAGCCCGAGGGCGGGGTGGGGAGGGAGGAGGGGCTTTTGGTGTAACTGCGGAGCGGTCCCCAGAAGTTCCACGAAGGTGTGAGTTTCCTTGCCAGCCCCTCCAAGCACCCTCGCGCTCCGGGGGCGCTTCCCTCCTGGTAGCTCGTGCCCAAGCCTGATACTATGTGGGGGCCTTTGGGTCCTCGACCTTAAGGGCCGAGAAACACGAAGTTGACCGATTGAGGCTCAGGGTGGGTGTATCAAACCTCGACGGGACGTTATGGCGTCCCGGCCGCTTAAAAACCTTCCGATGCCACTGGCTAAGTCTGCCTGCCTGCTCGCTAAGTTTAGGCGGGACAATGCAAGTGTCCACCTTTCTTTTACTCCTCTAACTTGACATGGTACACATCAAATTTGGGCCTTCACTTGCTTTGGGCGTCTCTTCCCAGGTTAAGTAACCGAATGCGATAGAAAATGGGGAAGGGTGGAGGATGGATACAGGTGTTTGAGCTTCTCCGGGTGGGTACTTCAGAGGCACCATTCGGGTGGCAGGTGGGGGGTGGAGAGGCGCGGCCGAGAATGACCCCTCCGTCCTTGGTTTGTCTGCAGGAGGCTCCGACGCCAACCAGGTGCCTAATGGCAAGAGGATGAGGACTGCGTTCACTAGCACGCAGCTTCTGGAGCTAGAGCGGGAATTCTCTTCCAACATGTACCTGTCTCGACTGCGGAGAATCGAAATCGCCACGTACCTGAACCTGTCAGAGAAGCAGGTGAAAATCTGGTTTCAGAACCGCCGAGTGAAACATAAGAAGGAAGGGAAGGGCACGCAGAGGAACGGTCATTCAGGCTGCAAGTGCGTCGGCGGCCAGGCACACTACGCGCGCTCCGAGGATGAGGACTCCTTGTCGCCGGCCTCCCCCAACGATGACAAGGAGATTTCTCCCTTATGAGGGGAGGCCGCCTTCGTCTCACCACTTGCTCCGGTCGTCCGCGCACTGCCAATTCGGCGGGGTACCCAGGGGCCAAAATCCTTGCTGTCCCAACGGAGAAAGAACTGAGCTGAGCAATGGGGTCTATGCCTCGCCTGACCCTGCGTGTCTCTTTCCTGACCTACTTGTATAGGTTTCCACTCACAGTTTTAGATAGTTTTTAAAAAATGTAAATAACTTAGAATTCAACTCAGTCTTGTCATAGAATGGAGAAAAAGCAGGGCTGGTTTAACACTGAGGGGTTTTGAAAGCGCATGTCATTCCTCTTCCGACTGTTTTTCAGAACCTGACCAGAGCTGGCTGGGGGTTTCATGACTACTTTCTGTTGTTCTTTAAATGAACTGCAAATGATTTAAAAGTCCTGCTTTCTGAAAATGTATCAGGGGAGAGTTTAAAGTTCAAGTCGCTGGAAGTCCCTTTGTATGTGAATCGTTTTATATAAAATCTATATTTATATTTATTTAAATAAAGCAAAATGAAGATTTACAGTTTTGTGGTGTTTGTTCTAGCATCTTCTCTCTTTTCCTCCCCAGCATCTAGAGAAAGATATGGAAGGGATGGATAAGAACTGTGTCTGAGAATATAGGGGAAAATTATGACTACTGCTTGGCATTGTGAATTTCTTGGTTGAGGGTGTTTGTGGCTCTCTAGATTTTCTGAGTAACAGAAACTTCTACCATGAAGATACCTTTAGTCCTTATGCTGCCTGCCAGGACATTCTCCCCAGCCTCACAACAGGTAATTTGCCCCCAATCCATATCACTCCATTTAAAGTCACACCAACAGTTTGTCAAACATTTAAATTTATTAGCAAAGAGATGAAGTCCCATACCTAAAATTAAATCATGGTGGTGCCCCCCTTTCTTCTTATCTGTTTCAGTACTAAAATCTGAGTTATGTGAAGGAATTTGAATAGTCAGAATAGTTTTAGAAAAAACAACAATTCACCACACAGGTTAGAAGCAAATGCATGGAAATTTACAAGGGAGTCTGCAAGTGACTAGAAATATCACTATTCCTGGTTTGTGTAGCTAAAAAATGAGCTGATTTTCCTCCATGTTAAGTAAACAAGGCATCAGGATCAGAGAATTAATCTGTGCAAAGATTTACATTCTTATTTTTCCAAACCTAACTCACAAGTGCCTTTGGACTTGGGGTTTAGCTTTGGCTTCCAAACACTAACCTAACCTGGCTTCTGTCTAGAGCCTGTCTTCCTATCACCTTGCAGAGTTACTGCAAGTCTGGTCCCAGGAACGAGTTACTTCTGCCATTGCCTTCAGCAAGGCAACCTTACTCTTGTCAGTTCTTGGGGAACCCGAGCATGCCAACAAAGGAAGAGGAGTGAAGAAGAGCACACAAGTAGACCTCATGCCGTGTGAGCCGAGTCCCACTAGCGTGCACTGGTGCTACTTCTGATTGTCTTCTATACAGAGGTCATGCAGGAGGCTCAAGTGACAGAATCTTTACAACATACACACACACACTTCACTATGTCGGATATACTAGAGTGTGTAGGAACTGAAACTTCACCAGGGGAGGCAAGCTGGAAAACAGGTCTGGAAGCCAGTCTGTGAAGGGAGAAAGAGGGTGTGAGGATCGGATCTTTGCCCAGTGAGATTTACTCTCACTCTCATTCTCCCTCTCCTCTCCCAACCCCTTCACTAGGGAAGCTCGACCTTTTTTCCTTTTTAAAACGTTGAGGCCCTTCCTCAACTGTCACTGCGCCAACGCTGGGTAGGCAGGAGGGTGGAGACCCGGAAGGGGTGTCGTGCCCAATGGGGAGCTCCCACTCTTTGTGCAGCGACCTGGGCTTGACTGAGGCGGTGGTCAGGGGCACCTGGATTGCCCCTGCTCAGGCCTAGAAGGCGTAGCCTTTGGGTCTCTCACTTGTTCAACCTACCGGGAACTCCTAGCCCTGTGCGAGGAAGGGAGGGCACCCAGAGGCCCTCTTCCTTTCCTTGAAGACTCCCACCTCTCTCTTTCGCAGTAAATTGTCCTCTTCAGGCACGAGTACAGGGTGGGTGTGAGGGAGTTTCGCTGCGCGAAGAACAGGCATTTAAAGAGAATAGTTCCTTCGCAGGAAATTACAAGGACAAA